CTAAGGGGGGAAGGGCAGACTGACTGACCTCTCTCCCCCCCCCCCCCACTAACTCTACCCCCCCCCCTGCTCTCCCCCCACTCTGACTTCTTCTTCATAGCTGTTATGGTATATTTCGGTGTACGTTCCCGCTCCTGCTCATCCCCCGTGTCTACGATCCGCCCGCAGGCCCAAGGAGCGCAGCCGCAGCGGTTCACGGAGTCGGAGCCGGTCCCGGTCCCGCAGTCGATCTCGCTACAGCCGCTCCAAGTCTCGGTCTCGCACTCGCTCCCGATCGCGGTCCACGTCCAAGTCCAGGTCGGCGCGAAGATCCAAGTCCAAGTCATCGTCCGTGTCCAGATCTCGCTCGCGGTCCCGGTCCAGGTCCCGGTCCAGGAGTCCCCCGCCCGTGTCCAAGAGGGAGTCCAAGTCCAGGTCGCGGTCCAAGAGCCCCCCCAAGTCTCCTGAAGAGGAGGGAGCCGTGTCCTCTTAGGCAAACGGTAATGCCCGCGGGGCCCCGGCGCTCGGCCCGGCGGGGAGGAGCTGCGGTGGGGTCTGCAGGAAGGATGTGTGTGAGCAGGTGGTAATGGCTGTGTCGGAAACTGTTTGCGACCTATTGATGAAAATGACTATTTCTTGCTGTTTTTATCCAACGTCTGCATTTTCCCCTTTAAAGCTGCGGTCTCCTGTTTGATAAAAGAATATTGGCCAGTATTGCAGATTTTAACTGATTTGGCTGATCCTCCAGGGACCAGTTTCTGTGGGCGTGTGTTGGAGCAGGTTTGTCTTTAAATGTTAAAGATGCACTATCCTCCTAGAGGAGGCACTCGGCTCAACTCTTGTTGTGCCGACTGGGTCGCTGTTCTAGTGGATGTGGCAAACGCACTGCAAAAAGCAGCATGAACTTTGGAACCCAAAAAAGTGTCCAGGTACTGCGCTGGGTGGGGAAAGGATAGTGTGTCTTTAACTCAAATTGTTTGGTCCTGTTTTTTAAGGAAGGGCCCTGAGTAGCTCGGACATGAAAGCCTTATTCTCGATTGCCAAACGTTTTGTTTAAAAACCAAATTTATCCTGAAATATAGGTTACATTTCTGATTTCAAGTTTTGTTTGGATACAGCCCCCCTTTTTTCCCCCTTTTCCTTTTCTCCCCCCTCCCCCCTTAACGATTTTTCACCTTGGTTATTTGGCCAAGAACGCACAAATTTGTAAATGCTGATGTGAAAATTTCCTAATTTGGGCCTTAAACATTTGTGAGAACGGCCGGGTGGAACCTTTCTGAAACCTCCTTGTTTCACCAGAGCCTTAGACGGCACATGCCAAGTACATGCCCGAAATTGAAACCATGTGCACTTTGGGCGGCTTCACGTGACGGGAGGGAAACTGAACTTAATTTCTTTTCAAACCTAGATGTGTCGACAAGCAACATAACAGAAATGAGGAGGAAAAGGACCCCATGCTCAGTCCATCAAAGAGTCCTTGGAACAAGCACCTGGCTATTGAAAAGGTTATTTTGTGACATTTTGTCTAACTTTTTACTTGTTTTAAGCTTTGCCTCAGGTGGCAAACTGCATTTTATGTGCCATTTTGTTGCTGTTATTCAAATTTCTTGTAATTTAGTAAGGTGAACGACTTCAGATTTCATTATTGGCTTGGATATTTGAGGTAAAATTTCCTTTTTGTTTATATAGTGCTGACTTTTTTTGTTTGAAATTAAACAGATTGGTAACCTAATTTGTGGCCTCCTGACTTTTAAGGAAACTTAAGGAAACGTGCAGCCATTACACACACACAGCCTAAAGCTGTCAAGAGATTGACTCAGCATTGCCTTCATTCCTTAGAATTAAAAACCTACAAAAGTTGGTGTAAATTTGTGCATGTTATTTACCTTCAGATCTAAATGGTAATCTGAACCTAAACTCGTATAAAGACTTTTCAGGTGAAAAGACTTGATTTTTTTGAAAGGATTGTTTACCAAACACAATTCTAATCTCTTCTCTTGTGTATTTTTGTGCACTAGGCGCAGTTGTGTAGCAGTTGAGTAATGCTGGTTAGCTGTTAAGGTGGCGTGTTGCAGTGCAGAGTGCTTGGCTGTTTCCTGTTTTCTCCCGATTGCTCCTGTGTAAAGATGCCTTGTCGTGCAGAAACAAATGGCTGTCCAGTTTATTAAAATGCCTGACAACTGCACTTCCAGTCACCCGGGCCTTGCATATAGATAACGGAGCATACAGTGAGCACATCTAGCTGATGAATAATACACCCTTTTTTTTTTCTACTCCACTCCACCAAATGGTAAAAATGATCATCTTCATGTATGAACTTAAAATTTGAAAAATGTTAAGGAAGCAAATGGTCTGTAACTTTGTAAGTACTTAAAACATGGTGTATCTTTTTTGCTCATAAATATTCTGTACTATAACCATTGTTTCTATAGTTTAATTAAAAATGTTTTCTTGGTGTTAGCTTTTCTCAGAATATGTCTTGGTCTTTTTTCCTCCCTTTGTTTGAAAGACCTGTGCAATTTTCTTGTGAATGTTACCGATTATATAGTATGAAAGTGAAATGCTTTAGTTGACTTTTTAATGGAAAATGTTCCATTAAAAGTTCACATCAACTATCCCTAAAAGTGATGCTCTATGGCAGCACGCTGAGGTGTGGCTACTCCGTTCTCATGACCTAATTGATGCCCTATTTTAATGACTTAGGAACAACATGAGTCCTTAATAGGTGTTTTAATTTTTGTTTCCATGGCTGTGTATCCCACAAGTACTGTCTGGTAGACACATCACAGTTTTAAGGCCAAGAGATCTGACCATCTTTAAACCCCTGGCTTGTACTCTCAGGCTGAAGTGGTCTGGATCCTAATGGGCATGCCAAGTTGCTAATCGGTATCAACATTGTCCCAAAACAGCTTGTAGGTGTAATTCAGAGACTGTCCTTTGCAAAGGAGATAACCAGCATTTCAACAGTATGTCTTCCTGGAAGGGCAGATTCTGCTATATCTTCCTTGTCTGCATCAAAAGACACCAGAGGAATGTGGACACATTTCATATCCCACTTGTAGATCAAAGCTTCAAGTGACCAGTCAGCACTGAAAAATAAACTTTCTAAAATTATTTTCCTGTTTTGCTTCAAATGTTTTTTCATGTTATGCTTTGGCGTTGATTACTACGGCTTAATTTAACTTAATAAAAACTGAATAAACCAGGATTAGTTGGGCTTACCTTCTTACCTGGTAAGTAGACCACAATTGGACCTTGGGGTTCTTCTGCATCAGAAAGTATACTGTAGTTAGAATGTCTTCAAAGTCTAGGAAGGAAGAGCTTATTAAACTTGCATTGTATCTCTGGCCAAATTGGCTATTAGGCAAAAAAAAAAAATACCTTCTGGTTCAAAGAACACATCAGCTGCAAGAATAATATCTTGGGGTGGCAAAGCCAGAAGGTCCAGGGATAGGTGACCCCATGTTAGTCCTACAACATGCACCTGCGGCAGGTTATTCATTTGGCAGCTCTGCTGACAGACTTCTAGGCAGTGAGGCAGCTCTGAGCTGTCGGACAGTGTCACCTCAGTGCCACATTTTGCAGCTACAATTCCTGGAAGGCTCACTCCAGCTCCAATCTAGTAAGTTTAAAAGATGACATTTCAAAGTTTGTCTAGAACTACAAAGAATTTGGATCTTAGTTCCCATTTCATCCTTGTGAGCAGTGTGTATTTGGGCTTATGTCTATAAAACATGCCATGGTTAAAATGCTGCCTTAACCTGTAGGAACCCTGGGCTTTGAATTTGGCAAGAGTCTGTGTGATTCCTCTTAATTGGGTCAAAGTGCAGTTATCTCATACTGGGCCCTGTATTCTGCAATTGACCTAGTGCTTCCAAACTCAATGTGTGTCTTAGGCCATTTCGTTGCTTAACATGCCCAGAGAAGTAGTCTTGGGGAACTTGCTCTGTCATTTTCAGTTTTCATAGTTAATTGTAGGGCATGCTGCCTCTAGAAGCTCCAGGGGGGCTACACGCACAGCCAGTTACTGATTTTAATTGTTTTTATGTGAATAAAACCTGACAGGTCTAGGACATGGCTTTCTACAAAAGGATTTTTCCATTTGGTTTAAAGTAACAAGGCATTTTAAACAATGAGTAATGCCAAGGAATGCTTTTGCATTCCAATTGATTGAAATAAAAGCTTCCCATTTCCAGTCTGAGGATGGGCGTGTTAGAGCCCAAATGACCCTGTTGGGACACCCTAGGAAGATGGCCTTGACTGCTTCCCTGCCCAATTCGTCACTGGGCTTCATGCAATAAGGGCCAGCCAGTAAGGATTTTAGTCTTGGTGGGCCACATTTTTTTAAACACCATCTTACAAATGTAAAAGTCATCCTTAACTCGCATGCCTTAAAAGCTGGCCATGTTAGCCCTGACCGGTTAGGCTCAGTGGGTAGAGCGTTGGTATGCGGACTGAAAGGTCCCAGGTTCGATTCTAGTCAAGGGCATGTACCTTGGTTGCGGGCACATCCCCAGTTGGGGGTGTGCAGGAGGCAGCTGATCAATGTTTCTGACTCTTTGTCCCTCTCCCTTCCTCTCTGTAAAAAATCAATAAAATATATTTTAAATAAATAAACAGTGTGTTTGAGGCCTCAAGGGCACATGTACCTCTAAGATAGCCTTGCCTGGTAGAGATCTTCTGTGAAACCACAGGTACTGGGCCAGGACTACAGCACAGGGCCAGACATACATTCCATACTGAAGATGCAGGACCTGGAAAGAATTTTTGTACAAAATAACTCATCTGCAACTTAATACAGCAATTACTGAGTGCCTGACTCTGGCATCCATTACAAAAATGACATTTCCCTGCTCTCCAATTCACATCCTATGGAGGGGAGGGGGAGTATATATAAAACTGCTATACCATGTGGTAAGCACTCTTCAACAAGCATTTATTCAGACTCGTAGCTTAATAACTATTCTAGGCTAAGAATGTCATTCTCATGGAGCATATATACCCTACTAGGGAGAGACAGGCAGCAAGTAAGCAAAGATATTTTTGGTTCATGATAATGCTATAAGCACGATACATAAAGGGGGTGATGTTAGATTAAAGGGGGGGGGTCAATGACCACAAGGTGGCTGCACTAGATAGGGAGAGAGGGTGATTCAAAGGCCCTGAAGCAGGAACTAAAGCCTCTTGCTGGACAACAGAGCGCAGACGGAGGGGCTGGAGGCAGGGTTGTGTAGTGCAAGCAGAGGCCACAGGAAGTATAGCTTTATTATTTTTTTTTTTTAATGCAAGAAGATATCAGAGGTTTTAAGCACAGGCTTGGTATGCTAATGGGAAACAATGTAGGCCTAGAAAGACATCCTTGAAGAGGTTTGAGTGGCCATGAGTCTCTGAATAAATGCTTGTTGAATGAATAAATGTCTGAAGAGTGCTTGCCACACGGTATAGCAGTTTTATATCCCCTCGAAGAAGTTGGGAAGGCAGGCAACTTACAAAGCCTTTGAAAAAGCAGAGAATTGTGAGAGCGTAGTATTTAGTGAGGCAAGATAACATAGCTCACAGCTCTGAAATGAGTCTGCCCGAGTTCAAACTCCAGATCTGGACTTGACCAGCTGTGTGACCTCACTCAAGTTATTAAGTCTGTGCTCAGGTTCCGCAATTACAAAATACTATCTCACTGGGTTAATAGGAAAATTCAATGCCAACTACTTAGTAGTGCCAGGCACCAAGTAAGCTACCGTTAAACATACAAAGTTAAACATAAAACGTTAGCTACCATTAAACGTACTGCAACACGCAGGTCTGTTTTCTAGAGCAAAGGGTGCCTCTAGGGGGGTGGTAGAAAGGGGGCTGAAGTTGTAAAAGTAACAGGTGAAGGAACTAAGGCCTGAACCTAATCCACTCAACAAACATGAGTGCCTAAGGTATGCTAGATCCTGTTCTACCTGTAAGGGTGCAGTGTGAATAAAAGAGCAAAACTGCCTGCCCTGGTAGATTTTACCCAGGAGAACAATGGGGGATTTCTGACCAGAGTTGTGCAGATTTGGGTGTAAAGAAAAGGGGCTCTGCCCTAACCGGTTTGGCTCAGTGGATAGAGCGTCAGCCTGCGGATTCAAGGGTCCCAGGTTCGATTCCGGTCAAGGGCATGTACCTTGGTTGCGGGCACATCCCCAGTGGGGAGTGTGCAGGAGGCAGCTGATCGATGTTTCTCTCTCATCGATGTTTCTAACTCTCTATTCCTCTCCCTTCCTCTCTGTAAAAAATCAATAAAATATATTTTAAAAAAAATAAAGAAAAGAAAAGGGGCCTCCATTTTCACAGAGAATATCTTCTTAAAATTGGGGAAGAATCCAAGTGGGTATTTCAACGAGAAGGCATTATCAACTGTCAGAAATGGGTTCCACTTAAAGCTGTGTTTCCTCTTGAAAGTGTTACATGTCACCGGCTGCTGTTAAAAACCAAATGAAAGACGGCAACGTGAAAATGCTTTGAAAAACCTGACGTACAATTACTGAGTTCTGGGACATTCGAGAGCTGAAAGGAAATGAGTGTCAACCCCGAAATTTTACTTGATCAGTGAGGGTTGGAGCTCCCGTTCCCAGAGGAAGCTTAATTAAGAAGCCCTTCAACAAGATCAAAGAAAACATTAGGTGGTAAAAATGCCATTTTTTTCTGGGAGGAAACAGTCGGAGTGGATTAGCGCCCTCCTGGCAGGGTCCCCCGATTCCTTACTGAAAGACGTCACATGCCAGAGGCTTCACCCCAGACCTTGCGCTCTCTGGTCCATCCTAAGGCAGGAGGCCGGACCCCGCTCCCCCACACCCCTCTCTGCCCCTCCTCCCTGTGGACTGAGAACCGCTCCTAAGCCAGGGCGCAAGGGCCGGAAGGCCTTCGGGCGGGTGCCGCTGCACGCACCTGCGGGACGCGGACCTCCAGCATGGCCCCCTCCTCTCCCAGGCCCGGCTCCTCCGAGAACCGAAAGCGCTGGGCCCGGAACACATGCCCTCGGAGGTCACGGCCGCCCAGTGAAGAGCCGGTGGCTCCCGGGAGGGCCGGCAGCAGCGGGGGGCGCCGGGCCGCCAGGCTGCGCACGCGGGGCCCCGGGGCCGGCTGGGCCGCTTCCCCGAAGCCACGCGGGCCCGGCGGGCCCCTAAGACCCTAAGCAGGAAGGGGAAGCACCCCTCCGGCGGCGAGGCGGCAGCACGGAGGACACAGCCGGAACCAGGCCACCGGGACACAGACAGGAGGCCCACGCGGCCCGCCAGCGGAAGTCGGCTGCAGACAGGCGGCGCTGCCGGAAGTGACGCACCGGAAGCCGGCCGCGGGGGCGGTGTCTCGGCAGCCCCGACCTTCCCAACATGGCAGAGACCCGGCGTCTGTGAAGGAGGGCCCTGCGGGCGCCGAGGCCAATGGCGGGCCGCGAGCGGCCGGGGGGCGGGGAAGACGGTAGCCGCACGCCCAACCCGCGGCCCGGGAGGTGGTTGGGGAGTGAATCTTCTGGAAGGCGACCTTAAAGGCGCCGGGCCGAGCGAAGGGCGTTGCAGTGCGGCCGTCGCCGGGGCCGGGAAGGGGTGCGTTGGTGGCAGGAGGCGGGCTGCGCGGCGGTCGTGGCGGAACTCACTGGTGACCCTCGCAGGATGAACCACAAGAGCAAGAAGCGGATCCGCGAGGCCAAGCGGAGTGCACGCCCGGAGCTGAAGGACTCGCTGGACTGGACCCGGCACAATTACTACGAGAGCTTCTCGCTGAACCCGGCGGCCGTGGCGGTGAGCGCGCGGGCATCGCGGGCCGGGCCCGGGGGCTCCGAGCGGCCGCGCACTTTCCCCGGGGCCGGGAGGGCCTTCTTCCTCCCCTGCCCGGGTAGCTGCACCCTCACGGCTCCGGCGCCCGCAAAGGAAAGGCCTGTGGCTCCTCGACCCTCTTGAACGGCGGGACCCGCGGGGACCTGGCTGTCCCAGGCCCCAAGTGGGAGATGCGAAGCCGCTCTTGGTGCCGTGGCTCTGGGTGCGTCGTAGCGGCACGCGCAGGTCCTCCCCCCACCCTCACCCCCACCCCCGTAGAAGCCAGAACAAAAACCTGGCTCCTTAGGAATGTCACTGCTGGCTGGCCCTGGGGGC